CTTTAAAAGCATCATGACCCCAATTTATTTGAGCTCATGGGCCTTTGCATGTCTCTCAGGGAGTAGTGGTGTGGCTCCCCAGACTTATGTCACCCTCAGAGGTCAGAAACTTGGAGATCGTAACTGATTCTCATCAGGTGTGAGAAGTGTGATATCAGATTGCAATGCCCTGCACTTCTTCTTTGCAAGAAGGCAACATCAGGGGCTCTGGGCAGAGGCTGGCCCACTGAGGTTTGCAAACATGCTCTCCAGATGGTTTTCCTAAGCCCCCTCTCCCTGATAGGAAATCATACTGGACCCATGCAGTCCCTGGTGTGGAGCAGTTAAAAGACTTGCACAAGATCACCAAGTCATACTGTAGAGCCAGGATTCCTAGACCCAGGCCTCTGGACTCTCAAGGCTGGCCCCATGTGCTCAAGGGGATCTAATGTTTGGGCTGCACACCAACCGTCTTGGAGCTGGGATCCTCGCTTACTACCAAACCCTCAGCTTATATAGCTAGAAAGGCCTTGATTTTCGAATTAATGCCCCCCTACTGACTAGCTATGCCACTCTGGGCAAATGTTCTTTCCTGAACCTCTGTTTTCACATCTGTAAAGTGGGGATGATGATCCTATCTTACAGTGCTGTGGTGAGGGTGACAGGAAAGCACCTGTCCTGGCTCTGCACCTGGCACATAGTAGGTGCTCAGTGCATGCAGGTTTCCTTCCTGCCTTCAGTAGGGACCTGCTCTGTGTTCACACCTGAGCTGCATGCACCCTGTTGTGACTGAGGCTAGCGGGGAAGAGGTCCTGTCCTCAGGGAATTAACTGTCATATTGGGAGATAACAACAACCCTCCTTGGAACATCCAAGAAACCATGCAAAGCAGTGGACAGCACAGAACATGCCCCTCCTCTTCGCTGCCTGCAGCTCCAGTCTGATTCTGCTTGGGAATGGGCAGAGCACATGGGCTGCTTCACTGCTGTATAGGACAAGTCCTTTACCCCTCTCTGGGCCCATGAACTCCTGGCTTGGTTTATGTTCTGATTTGACGCTCTGATTTTAAGCTTCGAATCATGACCACTGAGTGCCGAGGAGGTACCATTCTGACAGCTGGACATCCATGTTGGTGTGGAGACTGAAACGACACTGGGTAGAATCTAATTTTTAATTATTAATATGAAGGATCTAATTAATTTAAATATAATTCTGAAGTCTACAGAACTTTTAGTTCTGTGCTGTCTATATGTGGACGCTTTGGTAAAATGCAAATTATGAGATGGATGTTATTGATGGTCTGGTGAGATGTTTCATATTTTTGACAGTTAATTTAAAAATTATGACAGAATGCTGCCTCTGTCTATGGGATTCTGTCTTCTTTGATAGCCATTTATTCATCTGCATCATGGGGCGCTCTATAATCCTTCCACCAATCAAATAAGCTATTGCTATTGATTTAGAGTTGAGACATCAGTCTCAGAAACTTCTGAAACATCCCTAAGCTAATTCTGAATTACCCAAGGATTATGTCACATTTTAAAATAAACGTGTGTGTGTGTTTTTTAAGCTGCTTCTCTCTTCTTGCTTGCTAAGGGAACAACTGCTGATTGCCAAATTTTGTCTCCAAAGAGGATACAACTGAGATCCTGAACCCCCCAATCCTTAGCCACTAGTCCTCTAGCCTCAGACTTACACTTCAGTACTCCAGGAAAAGAAATGTGTACTTTATTGAAAGAATCGCCTCTTTGAAATATTTTACTGATTTACTGATTTTGGTGGGTTTTTTTTTTTGTTTTGTTTTGTTTTTTTTTTTTTTTTTTTTTTTTTTTGCTTAGATTCACATAACTAACCTGTTGCATCAAAGGAGGGATGGAGTCGGGCAGAAAGCAAATATAAGGAAGATCCGTCCCTTGGAGCATGCGTTAAGGGAGAGAGGACGATTCCTTTCTCCTATGAACTGCCCACCCCCTTGTTACAGGTTGACTTGTGTCCCCCCAAGATTCAGATGTCGGAAGTCCTAACCTCCAGTACCCCAAAATATGACCTTATTTGTAATTAGTTAAGATGAGGTCATATTGGACTAGGTTGGGCCCCTACTCCAGTATGACTGGTGTCCTTTAGAAATGTGGAAATTTGGAAACAGATATAGATACAGGGAGAATGCCATGAAGGCTGAGGTCACAGATAGCACTCACCTGCAACTTCCACTCCTACCCCACTAGTAGGGTTCTCCCCACTGACAAAGCCTGACTCTCAGTGTCTTAGATACTGTTCTTAGAGAGGGCTTCAGGCCCTGGTGGTGTGCTGAACCTGTACCAGTGCCTGGCCTCTAAAGCCATGAGCAAGATGAGGAGAAAGGACACACAGGATTTGGAGACTGCCACCTCCTTCCTAGTCCCAGATCCTCCTCTGGGTGCTTGGTTTCCACTTCCCTTGTGACTCCCTGTGCAGCCCTCAGGGATATGTTGTAATGTGATGGAGAGTGCACTGTGACTCTAATGGCACCTTCCCCTCTTACTTGGGGCAGGAACACTGGCTCAGGAAACTCATACTGTGGGATGGGATAATGTAATCAGCTCAGGAGAGAGGCAAAGTCCTTCTCAGTACTCCTGAAATCCCACTGCTCAAAGCATTGGTGTCTCTATCCAGATGTTCTCAGGATGAATTAGAAAACAAGTTTATAATGGGACGAAGAATTCTCTTTGGTCCAGTGAACACACATTAAACAGCCACCATGTGCCTGACACTGGGAATAGGATGAAAACCCGCAGCACCTGCCTTTCAAAGAAATGGAGGGCTACAAGAATGGGCCTGCCCTGCCTGTGGATAGGTATTGTCTTGCTAATGTGAGATTAGTGATGTTATTTTCTGGAAAACTAAGCCTGGATAACACTGCTATTGTTAGGCACACATTCATAACTGCTTAGAAGAAAAATAGTGTGCCAATGCCAAATACAAAGACGTGACAATACAAGGTAAGGCAAAATAATGATATTATAGAGGAAACATTCATTTTAACATGGAGATTTGGGGAGTCTTGAGGATGGGCAAGATTATTTTTTCTTTAAAATGCACTTTCTATGAAAGTAATACACATTCAGTGTCAAAAGAACACAAAATTTTAAAAAGAGAAAAAGAACCATGTTCTACATCCTATGATCCCAAGGTAATTTCTACCAGCAGTTTCCAGTTCTACTTTAAAATAACAATATTTTTATACAAATGAGAACACATCCTTTTTATTTAAAAAATACATCATAAAAATGATTCTGGATCATTAAGGACCTTTTCAAAAATAGGCTTTGTAATGGTCGACTGATATTCAATCATAAGAATGTGTTGTCATTTACATACAACTTGTTCCTAGAGGTGGGCATGCAGCTTATTTACATTTGTTTTCCCCAAAATAACAAAGTATATAAGCACATGTTCTCATCTCTGATTGTATCCTGAGGTGGGAAGTGGGATTAGGGGGTGGGATGAGTACTATTTTCCCCTCAGGAAATGTGGCTGGGAGACTCAGAATTATATTAAGGGAACTTCTGGAACAGTCTTAGAGAACTGGAAAAAGACCAGGTAATAAACTGATGGCAGATATTTCAAGATAGCTGAATAGGAACAGCTCTGGAGTGCAGTTCCCAGCAAGAAGAACGCAGAGGGTGAGTGATCACTGCATTTCCAAATGAGTTTTTACTGTCCACAGACCAGGAGATTCCCAAGCTGAAAAGCACCATGAGTTTCCAGCATGGCTGTTTCAGCTGCTGCTGCGGGTCTTCTGCACAAACACTTGCACAAATCCAGGTGGCTGTTTCAACAGGCGCCTGGAATACCTGGGATACAGAGCTGCCCATTCAACTGAAGAAAAGGGGGCTGAAACAGGGAGCCAGATGATCTGGCTTGGTGGGTCCCACCACCTGCAAAGTCCAGCAATCTGAAATGCTCTGGATTAAGAGTTTTGCAGCAAGTGCAGCTGGACCTGGAACAGTCCAGCTCGGTGTGGGGGGGTTGAGTGTCAGCCATTACCTAGGCAGTCCACCTCTATGGAGGCATTTCACCATTACAGAGGCAGTCCGCCATTACTGAGGCAGACCACCATTACTGAAACAGTTCTAACAGGAAGTTCACACAACAGCTGGGCAGAGCACACAGCAGCTCAGTAACACCTCTGCTGGCAGACT